GCAGACTCCTGCTCCAGCTCCTCCAGGATGGCCTGTTTCTGGGAGTCATCGCCCAGCAGCTCCACCCGGCAGCCCTGCAACAGCTCTTGGTGTTTCTTCTTCAGTCGTTGCTGCATCTCGCCGGGTGTCACCTGCAGGCACTCGACCTCAGCCTGGGAACCACAGTGCAGATGACCACGAGAGAGAGCGAGAAAGAAAGACGGAGAAGGGGATGGCAAAGAGGGAGGATGGCATGCGGGGGAACCTGGGAGTCCTCACACATCTCTTCCCAAGCCTCTCCCTGTCCTCCCACCTTGTCCACCCCTGACTCCCTGCACCTTCCTGTCCTGCTGATGGCCTCCACTCCAGGTTTGCTCCTCGCTATCCCAGCCAGCCGCTCCCATCAGCTCTGGCACGGCCCCTCATTCCCAACCCCCCGCTGACCTGCTCCAGGAGAAATTGTTCCGTTTTCTTGACGGCATCTCCCAATGCCTTCCTGTTGGCAGACAACACGGCTTCCTGTGGGCAGAGGAGGGGATAATGATGGTGGGTGTTCATCGGACCACCGTGCATTCGGGGGGGACCCAGGAGCACACGGTTGCTTCTGCCATGATTTACATTGCCCCACGACCGTGAAAACCACACATCTGCCTGAGACCTCACTGGTGTCCTGAACCTCCAACATCTCCCTCTCACTCCACATATCCTTTGGGATAAGCCCCCTTGCATGCATCTCCCTTCCCCCCATGCACTGCAGCCACATGCCCACCACCTTAAGGAAGGGAATCTGTTCTTCCTTAGGATTTCCTGTAGCCCCCTAGTCCCTGCAACATGGTGCATAGATGCATAGTTATCCACCTCAGAGATAACTGAAGAAAGAAGATGGTTTTTGCAGCCTCCCAGGTAGTGACCAGGCCAGTGCAATTGCTCTTTATTGAGCGAGTGCTCCACAGCCACCTCTTGCCACTTAAATTGAAAGGCTCCTCCAAATAATGCATACAAAACTGGTTTTGCTTTGGTGCAGACTCGCTGCTGCAAGGAAGCACAAACTGAGAGCCCTTCATGCAAGGCTTTATAAGCCCTATAATATGCCTGCAACAGGACTTTTACATGCAATCCCCGTTTCTTGCTTGGGATTTGGAAACCAACGCCCAGTGAATCAGACAGTAATAGGAAAGATGGAGTGCAAGGAGGGCTCCATCCTGAGGGACATTATTGAGGTTGTGCGGGGAGGTATTTGGCCTAGGGTTGCTACATAGTGACCCCACTGATACTGAAATCACTCATCCTGGGGTAGATCAAGCCTGACCGGAAGCAGGCGTACCCCAGCCTTGCTCTGATGGCAACCATGGTTGGACTCATGACATCCTAGGGGTGGCCACCCCTTCCCACAGGGCCAGGAAAACTGCACAGAGACCTTCAAGGTAGCAAAGGAACCAGACCTTATACTTTTCTCCATAGACCAGCAAAGCAGCCTCCTTCTTCCTTGCAGTCTCCTGCTCCAGCTCCTCCAGGATGGCCTGTTTTTGGGAGTCGTCACCCAGCAGCCCCTCCCGGCAGCCCTGCAACAGCTCTTGGCGTTTCTTCTTCAGCTGCCGCTGCATCTCCCCAGGGGACACCTGCAGGCACTTGACCTCAGCCTGACAATCACAGCCAGATGACCATGAGAGAGAGACAGAGAAGGGGGAGGCACCACCCACACAAATGAAGGGAATCTGTTGCTTGCTTTGGATTTCCTGTAGCCACCTAGTTCATGAAAAATGACGTGTTTTGATCCACCTGAGAGGCAACTTTAGAAAAGAGATGGTTTTCCAGCCTCCCCGGCAGCGACTAGGCCTGTGAAATTGCTTTTTAGTGGGTGACCATTCCATGGCCACCTCTTAATATTATAAGGTTGGGTGGGATCTGCCTCTTGATGCCTGGATGGTGCCCACCATATTTTTCTGCCCACCTCAGTGTGCAGCACTCCTTGAGGAAGCAACGCATCGATACCTTGTAGTTCTCCTCATAGGTCACCATAAACTCCTCCTTCTTCTTCGTCAGGTCCTTGTCTAGCTGCTCAAGGGCGCCCTGTTTTTGGGTCTTATTTTTACCCTGCAACTCCTCCTGGCAAAGCTGCACTAAGTCCTGGCATTTTCTTTTCAGACGCAGCTCTAGCACACTGGGTGCTATAGGAAGGCACTGGGAGTCGGCCTGGGATTTGCAGTGAAGATGACAATAAAAGAGAGAGAAGGTGTGTCTACATGTGGTTTGACATGCACCTAAACTTAACGCGCATTTGCCCAATGAGCATTAAGGCGATCTAGGTGCATGTCTACATGTGCACCCATAAAGTGGGTGTCAAATTTATGTACCAGCTCGTTAACAGCCCGTCAAGAATGAAAGATTGTCCCCCCCCACCTGCTTCACCTCCCCCTGCCTAGCTCCCCTCCCTCCCTGCCTGCTGCCACCCCCTCCCTGCTGGCTGTTCTGGCGGGTGGTGGGGACAGGTGGTGGTGGGGCACTGCCACCCTAAACCCCATCACCCTTCGCCCTCAGGCAGGGCGGAAGGGGGAGCCTCATGTTTGCCACTGCCACAAAACTTCCCCGATGGCGGCTCCAACTTGGGCCCGTGCAACCTGAGCTGTGCAGCCAATCACCACCTGCCCTCCTGGTGCTGCATGCACAGTTGGCCAAAAGCATTACGGACAGACAGACACACACAGACGGACAGCCTAAGCCCTTTATATAGAGAGAATACCTAATCACATTAGCGAATGTGTAGATGTGCTAATGCACGTTAACGCGGGTGAGCAGACTGACTGAAGTTAGTCCCAAGTCCATGACCACACACTGTGCTCATGTGCATTAGTGCTCCTACATATTCACCAATGTGATTTAGCTACTTGCACATAAATCTGATACCTTTGATAAATTTGATTTATGGAAATTTGATACATTTGATTTATGGAGGTATCAAATTTAGGCTCAAATAGCCTTAAACCAACAATTTTAAGGCAGATTAGGGGCATGTGCATGTAGACACATGCCCTTAATGCCCCTTATATCAAGCTGATGTGCACTCAAAGCACATGTGTAGATGCGCCCAGAGGGATCAGTTACTAGAGACAGGCAGCCTCGATACCTGCTGCTCTGTTCATGACCGTCACGCACACTTGAGGATCCCACCTAGCTGAGGCCGAATCCCCCCCAGCCATGATGGTGGCCTCCACTCCAAAAAAATTGTCCCCTGCTGTCAAAGCCATGAGATTTCCCTAGTTCCAAAACTGTCCTTTAACCCCAAACTCACAGATCTTCCAAACTTACCTGCTCCTCCAAAAATTGTTCAAATTCTGTCTTGGCCCTCTGAGTTGCTCTCTTGTTAGCCCAAAAAACAGCTGTCTGTGTAAAGAAAAGGAAATGATATCTGTGAGCAATTGCACATCTTCTTTACTGTTGGACTCATTGTAATACACTCCTTTTTCTACCCCAATGCACCCTGTGACTCACCCCAACATGAAAACCAAGTCCCTGTCTGAAAATTCGCAGTGCCATATTTGCTTTTCAACTTCTATAGCTCCTTTTCTTGCCCCTTCCCCATGGCTCACAGCCATACTCTCAGCAACCACATAGAGCAGGAGAGGGCTATTATTTTGGCTGGAAGGCAGCTTAATGAGTTTTGGTGAGCTGTTGAGGGCTGCAAGGGTAGCCCCACCCCTTGATGGGTGCCTTGCCCCCTGGTTGCCATCTTGGGAACGCAAGGCTTGCCCCTAACCACTGCCCTGTGCCACTGGAAGTACTCCTTTTGGGAAAGGGGTTGCCATCTTAGAATGGGGAAAACAAATTATGTACTAAAACTAAAATATCTACAATAGCATATTTTACTTTATTTCAAAAAAGATTTTGTCCTGATTTGTGTGCATTTGCTTCATGTATATAGAGATGATTGCATAATAAATAGCTCAAAATGAAGTCTTACTCTTGTATACTGTGAGGGGTATGGGGGGGTGGGGGCCTGTGGTGTGTATCTGTGGGTGCTTGTGGGGGTGTGTGTATGTGAGGTATGGAGGAGGGTGTGGGTATGTGTATGGATGTGTGTGTGGGGTTTGAGAGGGGCTGTGGGTGAGTGTGTATGTATGTGGTGTGTGAGTAGGTATGTTCTTTGTGGAGCAGTAAGCCCCCGTCTCTGTCCGTTGCCAACAGTGAGTGCGTCTACATGTTAATTAATGCACTTTTGCTACTGTGCATTAAGTTTAGCATTAGTACCTCTAATATGAGTTACTACACAAAGGCACATTAGGCTGCCCTAACGCACAGTAGCAAAGGTAAATTTTTTAGTAATGCTTAATGTCCAGTAGACTAATTTTCCTGTGCATTAGCGTATATGCACTCTTTTTTTCTGTGACACTTTAATGCACAGTAGAATAAACTACTGCACATTGAAGTGCATGTGTAGATGCTTCCAGTGGTGCCTAACACCCCTCTTCTCCTAAAATTGTCCCTTAGTACCTGGCCATCTTGAGTCCTAGATAAATAAGGCCCTGCTACATGTTCAGATTAAAGCTGGATAGAAACTAGCTCTAGAGCTGTTATACGAAGCTGCACATGGAGGTGCTGAGCACGGTCGGGTCAAGTTCCACGCGCAGCCGTACAGGCACTCTGTGTCTTTCTTTCCCCAACACCTCCCTGATCCCTCAGTCCCCTGCAAGCCCCCCTGACCTTACAGGTTCCAGAAGGAAAGCAATTCTGACCCAAGCCTTAGGAATGACTAAAAGCCTCAGGGCCCTTTCCCCACTCTCCCTCCCTGGGCCCCTCCGGGCAGGGTTGGGGCTTTCCCGCCCTCTTTGCAATTGGCTCTTGCAGGCTGGAACTCTGCCCGCCTGCAAGAGCTCTTTACAAAAGCAGGCAATCTGTGGGTTTGTCTGCTAAAATGGAAAGTCTGCATTTTCTCTGATAAAAAGGGGAAATCCATGGTTACTCTAGTTTTTCCCCGTAGGAAATGGAAAACCCAGATTCCTGGTCATGAGCAGTGCACAGAGCCCTTAAGAGTAAAAAAGCAGCAAGACCTTATACTTTTCCCTATAGAGCTTCAGGAAAGCCTCCTGCTTCCTTATGCACCACTGTTCCAGCTCCTCTAGGATGGCTAGTGGCTTGGACTCGTCATGCAGTAGCTTCTCCTGGCAGGCCTGCAACAACTTCTGGCGTTTTGCCTTCAGCTTTTCATTCATCTCACTGGGAGGGACTTGCAGGCACTTGACCTTAGCCTGAAAATCAAAATCCAGATGACCATGTGAGAGAGAGGGAGAAAGAGAGAAAAGGGGGTGGCAAAGAGGGAGGGTCAGCATGCTGGGGGACCCAGGAGTCCCCTCACGTACACACCTCTTCCAGTGACCTTCGCTCCCTTCCCACCTAGTCCACCCCTGACTGCCCGTACCTTCCCATCCTGGTGATGGCCTCCCTCCATGTTTGGTCCCTGATATCCCAGCTGGCAGGTCCCAGCAGCTCTCAATCTACCCCTCATTCCCAATGCACACCCAGCTTACCTGCTCCTGGAGAAATTGTTCCATTTCCTTCATGGCATTTTCAGATGCCTTGTTGGCAGAAACCACAACTTCCTGTAGGGAGGAGGGGATAATGATGGTTTTCCAGCCTCCCCAACACTGACTTGGCCTCTACTATTGCTCTTTATTCAGTGACTGCTCCATGGCCACCTCCTAGTATCACAGTGGTGGGAGGGACCTGAAGGGTCATCTAGTCCCAAACTCCTGTAGAAACACAACCGTGCTTTTCCCCTACTCCCTGCCCTCACCCAATCATCCTGTGCAGTGCTTCTCCAGCTACTTCTTGAGAGTTCCCAGTGCAAGAGTTTCCAAAGCTTCCTATGTAGTCTGTTGCACTGCCTTACTCTTCTGACAGCTCTGTTTCCCCGCATGACTTTCATGCAAAGTGCCCCAGTATTTGACACCATCCACCCGTGGCTGCTGATTTTAACACTCCTTCTTACCTGCCCCTGGCTTCCCTGCTCTGATTGTGCTTCTTGCCTTCTAGAGGAAGGACATTCACAAAATGGCCTGGCTTTATCACCTAGACTATTGCCAAGGTGACCCACAGCCCTGACTCCATCTGTGCTTTGCCTACACACAGAGCCTGTCTATTCCCTTGTAGTGGCTATCTCTTCACACTGGGATGTGCCCACCATGCCCAGCATGCACAGCCTTCATGGTAATCAAATTCGAAGACCTTGTACTTGTTCTCAGAGGCATCTAGAAAATCCTTCTCTTTTCTTGACCACTCTTTCTTCAGTTCCCCCAAGACAGCCTGTTTCTCAGGCTCCTCTCCCAGAAGCTGCTCCTGGCAGTCCTGCAACAAATCTTTGCATTTTGTCTCCAGCTGCTGCTTCATCTCATTTAGTGTCACCTTCAGGCACTGGTCCATGGTCTGGGTATCAAGGCCCTGATGCTAATGAGAGAGAGAGGGAGTCAGAAAGCACAGGCACAGAGGATTAGATGGCTTCAGAGGGACCTTGGATCCCCTCCGATGCATCCAGTATGTCCAGTTCCCCTTACTCCTACACGGTAGGTCTTTGCTATCCCAGCTACAGATTAATCATGATCCCTGATGGCGCCCTTATTCCCAACATGCAACTCACTGCACCTTCCACACTTGGCCCTTCACTCTGAGCCAAATAACCCTACAAATGTATCTTTGGACTCCTGTACCTAACACCTCCCTTGTATCGCAGCCCCTCACTCCTTCCAGACAGTGCCCCTCACCTCTGTTTTCTACTTCCCTGCTAGCCCGGTTCTTGTTTCCCCCACGACAGCTCTTCATCCCCTTTGTGTGTCAAGGCCATTCTCCTTACCACGATTAGTTGGTGCACCTCACACCTGACCTGAAACATCATTTACTTACTTGTTCGAGCAGATATTGCTCATATTTTGTCTTGGCACTTTTTATTGTTCTTGTATTTAACTCCTTCCGCATTTCTGCAAAGGCCTTTACCATCTGTGTGGATAAGAGCAGACGGGGTGCTAGGTAGCCATCAGATGACCATGGAGTTAGGGTCCCCTCCTGCCCATCAATATCCATCTTGTCAACATGCCAAACAAAGATCCCGCTTGGCCCCAACTCACATTTCCCCCCTCTTCTCTTGGGGTGTATTCCCCGTCCTTTAACCACCCCCCTCAGTCACTCCAGCTATTTTTTCAATTTGTGGTTTTTTTTTTGTAGGAATACTTCCTGGCCTACACTTTCTTGAAGTCCCTTGTCTGCTAGAGATGGAGGATGCGAGAGCCCTGATCAGGAAGTTTGTGGCTGTAGATAAGCCTGTTAGGCCCTGTAGGTTTTGACTTTCACTTGGAAACCTGGAGAAAGTCTCAACTTTAATTTCACGCATCTTTTATGAACTCCCACTCAGCAACTTATTGGCTCTTTCATAGAATCATAGAAAATCCTGGGATCCTATGACCCCAGCTGACTTCCTGCCCTTTGGGCAGGCGGCTGGACTTGATGATCTTCCGAGGTCCCTTCCAGCCCTGATGTCTATGAAATCTATGAAAATGAGGGCTGGAAGGGACCTCAGGAGGTCACATCTAGTACAACCCCTGCTTCAAGCAGGACCATCCCCAGCTAGATCATCCCAGCCAAGGCTTTGTCTAGCCAGGTCTTAGCCTTGACGGATGAAAAACAATCCCCGCACAGCAAATGAAGGAAGGAGAAACCAATACCTTTAGAGGAGCAGAAAAGTCATAGTGCTTGTCCTTCAGGCATTTGGATATAGTCTGCAGGGAGATAAATCCCCATGTGAACCGAGTCAGAATTTGCTGTCCTGAGAGAGAGAGCTACCCAGAGCAAACGTTAGCTGGGGAGTAGCTGCAATGGGACTTGGCCCAGCATCACTCACCTAGTACTGAAACGCTGCTTCCTACAGAACAAGGTTCCCAACCAAGATTTTACTCCCATACCCTACACCACTGTGCCCTCAAAGGGGGACACTATCCTGCTGCACAGTTTCCCCCACCTCAGCACTACATAACAAGGACATGTAATGAGTGTAAGGTAAAATCATCTCCTCCTGAGCCTCCTGTACTACTTCCTGAAAGGTCTTCATTGGTCCCCCACCCATGTACCAAGTTCTGTCCCACCTGCCTATCAAGCTGATCTCTCACCCTGATCTTCTCTGCCAGCTTCCTCCCTGTGAGCCCTTGTCCATTCTGGTCCTTCCGGATGTGTGTCCCTGCTGAGCTCACCAGGGAAGTGATGTAGTCCCTCAGCTGTTCCCTGAAGTCTTTGTCCATGTCTGCAACCAGAAAAAGGACCCAGGTGTCTAGATGGACCTAACCAGGGTCCTACACTCCAACAACAGGGAGAAATGTGGAAGGAGGCATAAAGGAGTCATCAGCCAGGGGAGAGGGAACAGTTTTATCGAAATGACAGAGTCAGTATGTATTACCTGGGGACCCCAGACTACCCTGAAGGCAGTATGCTGCAAAGGGATAGGACTTCCATAGCCATCCCATGCTTGGGCAGGTCCATACATTGTGGACAGAGCAGCAGAGTTAATTCTCTACCCTAAACCTGGAGACTGTGGCACAGGAACAGCATGAGGAGGAGCACTGTGGCAGGGCTAAGTGGGGGAAGGGGATGCAGCACGCTGGGAAGCAGAGCCAAGGTCTTTTACCAAGAAGCATCCCATTCCTGCAACTTATGAACTTGCCAGGGTGGGGCATGAGGTAACAGCGGGTGCTTGCTGCCTTCAGGGCTTCCAGAGTCAACACGTGATTGGGAGAAGCCTCCAGCTCCTGTGGACCAGAAGGAAAAACACAATTTTTTTCAAGAGGAAGGCAATGACACTCATCAAGGAAGTTCCCTTTGAAAATGTTACTTTCATGTCCAAGGGCTGGTTTGTGTGATTCGGGGTATGTCTACACATGCTATTAATGTGCTGCAAGCTTTCCCTGGGAGCACATCTACATGTGCACCTGTCGGGAACAAATTTGCTCCTCATGGGAGCAGTTCAGGACAGGGCTACTCCTGCCCTGCTCTGCTCCCATACAACAGCCAGAGGAAGCTCTACACTCCCCATGGTGCCAGCCCTGGGCTGGCAGGGGGCACTGGGGCCAGGCTTGGGCTCCAGGGGGTGGGGGGAGCTGTGCTGCCCCCCAACCTGCACCCCTGCCCCGGGAAGCAGCCTGCTGTGCAACCCCCACTGCAAGATCAGAGCCAGGGCAGGGTTATTTCCAAGATCAAGCCGGGGAGCTCCCATCCCAGTTTTGGAGCCAGGGCCCAGCAGCAGGCAGCTGCTGGGGCAAAGGACAGTTCTCCTGCCCCCTGCTCCCTGGGCTGACCAGGAGTAATTTGCTCCTGGTTAGCGGTATCTCAGTGCGCTACTGCACAGTAAATTTACTATCTGCATTTACAAGTTGCAGAAAACTGCACATTAGTTTATATTACTGTGCAGTAGCTGCTCCATGCAGTTACTTAGTGATGCTTTACTGCACAGTAGATTAGTCTACTGTGCAGTAAAGCATCTCACATAGACATACCCTCAGTGAACAAAAGTGGTCCAACCTGCTGGTTACCTGGATTACATGGCTCAGATATTTCTTTCCTCCCTCTGTTCCACAGTCACATGATGCTGGATAGTCATGGACCAGCAGGTCCAAATTCTGCGAGAGACCAGAGGACAGCAAGATTATTTAGGGTTAGGGGATATCAGTAGCTGGTGGGTGGTTGAGTTCAGTACGGAATGGGGTCCATGGTGAGGCAACCTCCAACTTGACCACTGGCACCCCAGGCAAAATGAGTACAGGGACCAGGATTCAGGGAGTGGTATTTTCATTGCCTAGGGGCCAAAGGGCAATTGGGAAGGAAGCTTACCTGAGCTGAGTGGAGACTGCAGGTTTTCCCAGCTTCCTTTGCAACATGAGCAAACATCTGTGATGGAAAGACATTTTTCCACCTGCAAACCACTGGCTGCAGGACTTCAATCCATGGATTATGGGACCCCAGAATGGGATCCACATAATCCAAAACACTGAGAAGAGCTTGATAGTAGAAAACACTTTGGGAGGATGCGTATGGACTCTAGGGAAGCCAGCCATCTGAGACAGGCCTCCATCAAGGTCTGGCTAGAAACCTGGCCCTGCTACTAGAGTCAATCTCTTCTTACAAAAAAGAGGACTGGAGGACTTGACATGTGGGTGTGTATTATAATGTGCTAGTCCAGTAAGGAACTTCAGGAACCCAGTTAGTCAAGAAGAGGACAAAACATTAGCAGACTTTGGGCATATTTACACATGCGTTTAAGCACACCTACATTTACCGTGTATTGGCTTAATGTGCATTAAGTGGTTTTAGGCAAACATGCAGACATTAAAGTGCATTAACGCTGCACGTGTGGAGTAACTTGGGTGTAAAGTTAGTCCCAAGTCAGTCCACACACACAGTATTAATGTGCTTTAATATATCTAGGCCAAGCCCTATGAGGAGAGACTAAGGGACCTGGACCTCTTCAGCCTCCGCAAGAGAAGGCTGAGAGGGGATTTGGTGGCTGCCTACAAATTAATTAGGGGGGGCAGCAAGGGATTGGAGATGCTCTGTTCACCAGGGCACCTCTTGGGGTAACAAGGATGTGCCCTTTGAAATACCAAGCCAAGAGATGAAACACTGGTAATAAAAGCCAGAAAACAAAGACTTCAGATAGAAGGCCAGAGCCCAATTCTGAAAATCAAGAATGAGAGACAAAAAACTTAGTTTCAAGATCAGAAAAGTCAGCAATGGAGTTCAGAAACTAGATAATCCATAGCCAAGTCTGAAAAGCATCAATATCCCTCAAAACACAAATCATTACAGTAGGAACCTGGCATAGGGATAGGAGACATGTAGCACATGCGGGCCCAGGATGAATAGGGACATGGGTGCAATACGCCCCTAATGTTCTGGAGAGGAAGCTCGCTGATAACGGTATAGAAGGAATGGGTGTATTCAAGTTAGGCCAAGGGGATGGTGGGATGTAGGGTTATGGGCAGAACTGCTTGGGTTTTCTTTGGAGCTGTTTCACTATGGGCTCGAACTGTGCTTGACCAGGCACCAGGCAGGCGGGCACATCACCAGGATGACCTGGCCTGAGAGCAACTCATTTTAGGGGAGCCACAAAGTTAAAAAAAAGTCAAGAAACTGAAGGTTTCTAGTAGCAGTGACTAACAAACATCTGCAAGCTGGGAAGGGATTGGGACTAAAGAGCCTGGGATTGCTGGGAGCTTCTCGCCGTAAGAACTGCCATTTACTGGGTCAGACCACAGGTTCATATTGCCCAGTCTCCTGTGTCCCACAGCAGCAGAGAGTGGGTGCTGGAGGGAGAGTGAACTGGGTCTGAGCCAGGTTTATCCCTCTACTCCTCTCCCACCATGAATAGCTGTGGCTGATGCCAATTGATCATTCTGCATCAGATCCGGCGTGGTTCATACCAAGTTACTTCTCGGCACTTTAGGTCCAGCCCCCCTGCTCCTGGGCAGGAAAGACTTCTGGGGTCAGATGACTCCAGCAAGGTGGGCGACCAGACACTTTTTGAATATTTCCATAGTAGGTACTTGTACCATCTCTGGGGGAAGTCTGTTCCAGACCCTGGATACTTGAACCATAAAGAAGTTTTTCCTTGGGTCCAATCTAAAGCGATCCTCCAGCAATTTATGACCGTTATTCCTCGTCTTCCCCTGGGGGGCCTTGGTGAACAGATGCTCCCCCAGGCCTTGATGTGCACCCCTTATATATTTATAGGCTGCCACCAAGCCCCCTCTAAGTCTTGTCTTCTCCAGGCTGAACAGTCACATTTCCTCAGCCTCTCCTCCATACGGCTTTCACTTTTCTTTATAATTGTGCGTGTAAATGCTATGCTGTAGAGGAGTGAACTGCCCATATTGCCACTACATACCCTCTTTAGAGGCTTGACATCCCAGACCAAAACTATTGCACTCCCCTGGCCATCCACAGTCTTGCTCGGCCCCAAAACAAATGCTGAGAGTTCAGAAGTGTGTGGGGTGTCCTGAGAGAGCAACCTCAACACAAAATGCTATTTCACAACAGCTGGTAGCAGCTGTGGGGCCCCATTAACTCTAAGGAAGGGCAGAGTAAATAGGATCACCCTCGGGAGATGCATAGATGTCTCCCCAGACTTACAGTTGGGGCACTCGTACAGCCCTGGGGAAGTGTAGTTGCTACTACATTTTGCTGATTTACCTGGAATTGAACCAGTTTCTACATTTGGGTCATCCAGACAGTAAACCAGATTCTGCCTTCAGTGGGGAGTTGCTGCTCTGGGATGGGGCCTCGCACAGATGAACAGTTGCTAAGGGCCCAAAGCCACAAAACTGTTCTTCTCTCCAATTTTCTCTCCTCCGGGATTCTCAGGTTCTCCCCTGCGTAGAAATGTGCACCCCATGCTATTGCGATGCTGGGAAGCCTCTTAGGACTCACCTCCAAATAATCCTGATCTGCCTGGTTTAGCACTGAAGAAATGTTCAAAATCTACAATGTAATCAGAAGAAACAATAAGCAACCCTTCTCTAGTCCCCCATGCTGCTCCCTGAAGTACAATGCCACCATGATGGCAAGACCATTTTGCCTCCTACAGCACAGCAGCCCATGCTGAGGCTACAGCAGCATAGCAGCCTCTCCTGCACCTCCCGTATCCTTCAGCATAGCTCATTACTGACCCCTGCCTTCTTCGGTCCCTACAGCATGGCACCCCTACCATCCCCGCTCCTTGAAGCTCATCTGAGTCTCTTAATGCTATATCATGAAGCTTAGTACACTGACCTGGTAGGAGCCAAGTAAGATGCTGAACACACAGAGCTTGATGCTGGTTTCCAATTGGTGATGCAGATCCATGGAGCCCTCCGTGTCTACTAGGAACACAGCCACCTGTGGGGATGGAAAGAGAGAAGGACAAGCGCATCCCGCGATGGCAGTGGGCTCTGAGCTAATGCTTTCCTCCAGCTTCTACCTTGCTTAGATCTTTCTTTGTAGCTAGCCCACGGGGAGCCACATACTGAGGGAAGCCTGGGCAGACTTGGGGAAGCATTGGATAGGGCACCTCCAAGCTGTGGCAGCAACTGGCCAGCTAGCAGCTCAGCCAGGCCTCCAATGCTTCATGCACAGTCCCCACTGCCTTCTCTGGCTGCCAGCAAACCCAGATGCCCTCCTGCCACCTTCCTGTACTGCCCCAGGGGCAAGCCAGCCCATTCCCAGGTGGCCCCAGCCATCCTACTGGCCACAGGAGCCTGCTGAAGGCAGAAGCAGTGAGGAACCTGATCCTTTTTTTCTGTGGAGCCTGCCCACCTCTCTCATGGCCAGGGAGCAAGCTGACAGTTGCATCATTGCAATTTGCAACATTGCAAACTAAATTACATCCAGATATTGTTTAATTTGCAATGACGCAAAGTCATTTAAAACTGCCAAAAATATTGCACATGTACACTGTGATGCCGTTAAGCCACACAAAATGACATTTTCGTCACGTGTACATGTTAAAGGTGTCACCTGTACAAGCACCCCATATTACGCTGTCGGTCCAGGGCGCCCTCAGTGTCCACTAGAAACCCAACCACCTAAAAGGACAGATGGATAGTTGCATGGTTTAATTGTGTGGATGTGCTTTGAATTAATGTACCATTCCCCCTCCAATGGCCGGCGTAACACCTCATGGACTTCTCCATCACCCTTACCATCCATTTTACTCCTTCCTGTCCATTTTTCCCACTGCCCCCACTACTGCCAAGGCTGTCCTTGCCTTTACCAGCCATTGGCATTGCCAGGGCAACAGCACCCCACTGAATGAAGAATCACTAACTGGATAACCCACCTGAAGAAATTGGGTCAATCGCAGGTAGACTCACAAAGTGTAGGAGCAACTATACTTCCTTGGGGCTGTATGACTGCCCCCACAGTGAGTCTTGGGCAACATCTATGCATCCCCAAAGAGTGATGCAATTTCAGCCATTGGAGGAGAGGTGCATCAGTGGATACTGAACATGGGATGTAGGATGCAGCCTCTGAACTTCCTAGACCTTAAATGTTGGAGGCTGCAAATGGAAGAGGAAAAGGGTGGGGGGAGAGGTGGGGAAGGGGAACCTGGTCATCCCCTGTTTACTCTCCTTTTCAGCATCTGGTGTGACAGAAGAGACAGGGCAAGATGGACCTATGTCTGACAGTCAGTGACAGTTATAATAACTCCTCATCTCCCCCATTCCAGGTTACTGCTTACCTTGCCATGTGGGCCCTGGACCCAGAAGGGCTCACTCCAGATCCACACCCCTTTGCGCATGGTTTGGTACCCTCCTTGCCAATCAGATCCCTCTACAGGCTGGTCCTTCTGGCCCATCCACGCAGCATCCTGTAGGGGTGAGCAGAGTTGGATCACAAGAGAGAGTGCAGGGGCCAGTCCTTGGCTGGATTGGGCCATGCTCAGAGGGTGCAGAGAGGCATCCTTTGGCAAGCAAACTCAGTTCTTACTTAGCATGGTAATGAAGCTGGGGTGGGATGGGGGCGTGTGCAGGTGCCTGGGGATACCAAGGGGGGAAATGGTGGTAGATGCCTGCATGTTACTCTCAGATGAAGGGTGGGCATAGTTTTAGGTGCTGGGTGCAGATACATTTTCAGACGGCTGTATCCTGGGGCATTACTTGAGGCTCTTTCCTTGGGATAAACATGGTTTATGGGAGGAGTGGGTGCACATTTTAGGATGGGCATGCATTTCTTCATAGATTAGGGCTCAGGATGAAGTAAATGCTGATAGAAGGATTGGGAGGAGGGATCCCAAGGAAACTTCTGGGGCAGATGGTGCCCAAAATATCAGGGGTAGTACTCAAGTTTCAGGGTCTCCTGCCCACACTCACCTGGTTCTGCAGCTGGTGTATCAGGCAATTCATGAGGATGGATTTCTCCTGGTGCTGCTCCCCAACGATGGAGATCAGGCAGATGGGGGCATCACCCACCTTCCCCTGCTCCAGGCAATGGCTTAGGGCTCCCTCGTCCAGGGCCAGCTGGCCCTTCTCATCCACATGTACAAGATGCAGTGGGCCCATGGTAGCTGGATGATGACTTTACACCATCTACAGGAGATTGTCTTGCATCAGACCCAGAAATACCTGAGCTAGCCAATGCCCCTGCCCTGTGACTAGATTGGGGCTGCTAGAGGGGAAAGGCCCCTGGTTACTTCCTGGCCTGGTTCATGTGTTCTTATTGGATCCATCTCTTCTTTAGGGGTCTCTGTGTGGTCCAACACTATTGGGTCCCTGGGAAATAGGTCTGGCATTTAGAGCACCTGAGCCTCTTGGCCAAAACTCCATTCCAGGGCTGGGCAAGGCAACTCTGGCAGAAGCTGTGCCTGTGTTTGACAGACAGAAGGTCAGCCAGGAAGTCCAGGCAAATGGGACAGGTTGCTCCATTTCCCTGGATTCTGCAGGCTTGGAGGAAGGGGCAAACAAAAGGAGCATAAGGACTGTTAAAGGGGATGCGGAACCTAGGCCTCAGCACTTGGGCGGGACCAGTTCACAGGGGTGGGCTCCGAACACTCACTGCTGATTATTCCCAGTGTGCAGCAAAGTTAGGGGCTGGTCTTTGTTTCACTAGCTTCACGTCCTGTCAGAGGTATGCCTAAGGGAGATCCCGGAGTATTAATGAATGCCCTACACCCACACAGAATCAGGACAGAGCTAGGCAGACAGGCATATATGCAATAAGCTAGCTTCTTTGGGGGACAGGGATGCCAAGTTCAGGACGAGATTGGATAGGACAAGCCATGAACCACACACTGGAAATGATCAGGTAAGTACTAAGAGGTCCACCAAGCATAGGGGAATACTAAGGGCATCTATCAGGGGGCTTGTGTCTCCATACTAATGCTAGAAGTATGGGAAACAAGCAGGAAGAACTTGCAGTCCTGCTTGCAGACAAAGATCTCAACCTGGTCAGTCTACCAGAAACCTGGTGCAACCCTACCCATGACTGGGCAGTGGTCATTGAAGGCTACAGGCTATACAGGCAGGATAGACTGGGGAAAACAGTAGGACGGGGGGCATTGTTCTATGTGTTAGGGAACATTATACATCCTCTGTAATAAAGATGGGGACATAAGACAGGCAAATTGAAGTCCTATGGGTCAGATTACAAGGGGTTAGGGGTGAAAGGGAGTTGGTAGTAGGGGTCTACTACAGACCCCCACACCAGGGGGAAGAGTTAGACCTAGAATTCTTAAAACAGCTCTCAAAGGCAGTAAGCTCAAAAGACCTAGTTGTCATGGGTGACCTAAATTATCCGGACTTCTGCTGGGAGGAGCAGTCGGCCAGGTTTGCCCATTCACGTAGGGTCTTAACCTGCATACAGGACCTACCTCTAACACAGGAGGTATACACTATCTCCCACTAGGGGAGATACCTTACTTGACTTGGTGTTGGCCTCAGGGGAGGACTTGGTGGGGGAGCTACAGGTAACTTAGGGGATAGTGCCCACCAGTTGATAGGATTCACTATCCGGTGTAAGGTGGGGAAGACAAATAGTAAGGCAGTATTGCTAGACTTCTGGAAGACCAACTTCAACGAGCTCAGGATATTGGTTAGGGTGGGACTGAGGGGTAACCACATCTGTGAGATGGGGGTCCAAGAAGGATGGGAGTTCCTCAAGGGACTGATCCTGCAGGCATAGAGGGGCACCATCCCAGTACATGCAAAGGGTGGCAAAAGAACCAAAAAACCTTCTTGTCTGAGCAAGAAAATCCAGGAGAGCCTTCAGAGGAAAGAAGAAGCCTACAGGCTGTGGAAGCAGGGGGCAGCCCCCAAGGAGGAGTATATCTACGTGGCTCATGCGTGCAGGGAAGCAGTGGGGAAGGCCAAAGCAGATACAGAACTCAAGATGGCAACAAAGATTAAGGCTAACAAAAAGTCCTCCTTTCAGTACATAGGGAGCAGGAAGAAGGCGCAGGGTCACATAGGGCCGCTACAGAATGGACTAGGGCCAACAGGGTCCCTATTTTCAAGAAGGGGAGGAAGGAGGACCCGGGTAATTATAGGCCAGTTAGCCTTACCTCTATTCTTGGCAAGACCTTAGAAAAAATCATGAAGGATCACATTTGCAGGTAACACAATGTTAAGGGGCAACCAGCATGGGTTTATAGCAGGCCAATCCTGCCCGTCTAACCTGGGCTCTTTTTATGACTAGGTCAAAGTGCTTAGATGCAGGGGTGGAAGTAGATATTATTAACCTGGATTTTAAAAAGGCTTTTGACACAGTGTCACACCCAATTCTTATGAGCAAGCTGAGTAGCTGTGATGTGGATTTTTTTCACAGTAAAGTGGGTGAAAAACTGCCTTATGGGATGCACCCAGAGAGTGGTGGTGGATGGGTCGGTTTCTCCCTGGAGGGATGTGGGCAGTGGCGTCCCCCAAGGCTCTTGTCCTTGGACCAACTTCCTAGGGAAGTGGTGCTTGTCCCTACCCTGGTGATCTTCAAAAGGAGGCTAGACGATCCCCTAGCTGGGATCGTTTGAATAGTGCACTAAAGAGCACCCCAGTGCTCTTTCCTGCCTGGAGCAGGGGGTCGGACCCGATGATCTACCAGGTCCCTTCCGACTCTAGAAGTTGATGAAATCTATGAATAAGCCAGATGGACAGCTTGCACACAGAAAGGCACACATTTAGGCTCTCTAGGAGCCTCTCTAATTAAAGTGCTCTCTTCTTCACCCTCAGAGCACATGTATAGACACCCTAGCAGTCCTTTCGCGATTGCAGCGCCTTCCTTCAGCGGCCTCCATCCACCCCTTTGGCCACCCCCATGCCTCACAGCTCAAAAGCAGCAATGAGTGAAACTCCACCACAATTAATTTGCAGATGTGGGAGCCTGTCCAAAAACCTCCCCAGGATCCTACCAGCTCTGGTGGTCTTGGGCCTGCTCACAGTTCCCTTGGTGTCTGGTGCTGCTTCCCAGCTTTAATACACCAAGTGCCTTCTGGTTACACAGTTTGAGCCAGACTCCAATGCGCAGAAGTGCTTTTCTCAGATCCCACTTTCAACTTTGTCTCTGGTGTAGGATTTATATAGCTCTTGGCTCCCTCTCCTCCTAAACCAGTTCCCTCAGTCACCCATTGCTTGCTAACTGCCAGTTGTTTATTGCCTGTGGCTCTGCATTTTTATAACTCTACTGATAGCCCTACCTTTAATTACAGGGCTTGGCCCTGGTTATAGTCACTGATAGCAAGTGGCAAGGGTTTCCCTTAGCTCATAAGTATTCACATAACCTCAGCAAGTAGGGCAGGGGCGGGCAATTATTTCAGGCAGAAGGCCGCTTCCTGAGTTTTGGCAAGCCATCGAGGGCCACATGACAGGCAGCCAGGGGTTTGAGAGGGGAGGTGGAAGCCCTCCCAAAGAAGCCTGGACCCCCAACCAACGCGCCCTGGCACTTACCTTAGGAGCTGGGACGAGCAGCAGCTGGGAGGAAATGCGAGCACAGGCTTGGCAGTTCCGCAGCACCTGAGCCTGCGCATTGGTGAAGGCTAGGGGCGTAGCTTCTGAGCAGCGCGGGATGCTCAAAAGGCAGCTGGGGAAATGACTGTGGCTGGGCTGGGAAGCCGGGAGTGGAACGCCAGCTGAGGAGCTGGCGGGCTCCAACTCCAGCTGCCTTGGCAAGGAGCTGGGCACCTGCCGGAGGACCTTGACCATGGAGGAATAAGGTGGCCTTGGGGACTGGCAGGAGCAAGGGAGAGCCTCCTCCAGCTTGCAGGCATCCATGGACAGTTCCACAGCAGGCAGAGCATGGGGGATCATGAGCCCGCAGAAGGAGGAAGGAGGGGACGCTGACCGGAAGGACTAGGGCAACTGGACCACAGGTCAGCTCGGCCCCAAGAAGGTGACACCAAGGAAACGGGTAGAGGATGGGCATAGGATGATCGTCTGTACCCACGCCTACTAGGAGAAAAGGGGACAGATGAGTATCCCGAGAGGATCAAGGGCCTCAAGAGAGGGAATCTTGGGAGCCCTGCCAGCATGAGCCAGATGTTCATTTTAAGTTATAGTTGGCCCCGGATGGGGCAGGTTTAGTTCTCCAAAAGAGGAGAAGCTGACCCAAAGACAAGGGGCAGGACCCCGAAGATTGACGGGCAGTGCGGGAGACCTCCAGGGAACAGCGTCTACCCAGGCCAAGGACGTGGTAAGGATGGGGTAAAGGGGAGGTTTGGAGCCCCACGAAGACACCCAAGGGATGAGACCCCCCCGTCGGGTCGCTGACAGGGAACTGCCTCCCCAGCAACAACATCAAAGACGCGGCAGGCGAGAAGGGGCAGTGCCTGGACCATCTAGGCAGCACCGAGACTGGGTCTCACCCTGATGTCGCCGGGGGGTGAGGTACCCACAAAGAGGGCACCAAGACTCTACAATGCCTACCAGTGACACAGGGGCAGATAAATATTAATTTTCTAAATATTTTAGGGGCCCTGTGGGCTGGATAGAATGGCCTGGCAGGCCGCATCTGGCCCATGGGCTGCATTTTGCCCACCCCTGGAGTAGGGGATAGCATGGAAACAGAGAAGAGGTAGACACTTGTAATGAAAGAACTATTTTGAATTAGTAACCATTTCACGAGTTTCAGAGGTGTTCACACATACACTGCACTGCTGTTCCAGGTCTGATAGTCACCTTTTAGGTATTGAATTACTGTGACTGCTACCAGGGGGTGGGACTGAGCTCCCAGCCCAGCCCATCTCACAGTGGGCAAGTAGGGGAGAGTGGGTGCATCTACATGCTCATTAATGCTGTATAGTTACTGCGCATTATGTTTAGTATTCGGATAACCAAGTTTTAATTCAATGTGCAGTGACTCAGACTACTGTGCAGTAGTGCCAGCACTCAGGTTTTTAGTGACGCTTACTGCACAGTAACCAAATAACAGCACCGTATATTAGCATGCGTTTTGCCTGGCATACTTCTGCACAGTGTTATTAGGCTACTGCACAGTAAGTGTCTCGTGTAGATGCACCTAATGAATATATTCATCTTTTGACCTGTGGTGGAGCTGGTGGTGGAACAATGAGGGAACATGGTAGAGCAGGAGGTGAGGATATGGCTTGTTTAGAGAGGGAACTTTTATTGAACAAGCAGTGCAAGGGAGCTCAGGGATAACAATTGCCAATAAAAAAAAAAAAGTAGGAGGCAGTAGTTGATATTGGGGGTGGGATGCCTGGAGGACTGATCAGACCAGATGATGAACAATATGGTATCCACACATAATTCTGAAAAAGTGCATTGTGAACCAGTTCAAAAGAGTACCTAATAGTTGAGGTACACTTTTGAATAATTCCAAGTGGATTTAAACAAGTTTAATGGGTCAATATGTGTATCCATTGCATGCTTAAACAATGTTTTAAATGGTCTAAGTGTTATGTGTGTCCATGCCCAGAAACAGGCATAGAGTTAAGATCCTAGCTGGTAAGGGGCAGTACTAGTTATACTAAGACATGCATGCATGCACACACGTATACAGTTTCTTTTCCACCTGGGAGAACTTTTACAATCTTTGAACTCTCCTCCACCTGATAAAGAGTCTTTGGACCCAAAAGCTTGCAAAGAAGGATTTTTTTTTTGCTACTATTTAGTTGGTTTAATAAGAGATACTGCCTTTAGCCCAAAAGTTGTGTCTGCCTTTGCTTTTTAGATCAACACGGCTATAAGTGACATCCCTGAAACATGGAAGATATCATAATTAGCCATCTAGAAATATAAACTTCATTGCTAAACAGGAAATATGCACAATTCAACTCCCTCCTGGACATCTAACACCTTCAGGGAAGAAAACTGCTGGAGCTTTAGCTGCCTAATTTGCATATTCACAGAGCAACTGTTTCACAAATGAACTTTGAAACCAAAGGGAACCACACCATCCATTACTTCCTTTGTGCAAGATAAAGTTTCTTTCCTACCTGGAAAACTTTTACAATCTTGGAACTCTCCTCCACCTGACAAAGGTTGCTTAGACCCAAAAGCTTGCCAAGAAACATTTTTTGTTGCTACTATTTATTTGGTCTAATAAAATATATCATCTTTAGCCCAAGAGTTTTGTCTAACACACACGCACACAAGCGCATGTGTACGTACACAAGTGGAGTAGGCAGCATGGGATAACCCTGGGCAGATGCATGCACTTAATTTTTTAGAGAGCAATATGGCAAACTGTGATCGGGTGGGTCCACTTGCTTTCCTTTCATCATGTTGTAATCACTGGATCCTTTGCTTCATCTTCTCTCCCTCTTTCCTGCCACAGCTTGATGTTACACAGTTCTTTGGGACTATGGATAGTGCCTAGAGTGATGTTTGTACTGAGGAGGGTTGGTCTTCTGCAGGGCTCTACCACCCCTACACCCTACCCCTTTCCTCTCAGGTGATAAGCCATCCTTCTATGCTGACACTCAGTGGGAGTCACTGGGTCTTGGCTTCTCCCTGGCCCAATTCAGTGGCTGATACCGAGAAGGGTTGGTGGTCAACCTGCCCAGATGGGTCACTTGAACATTTCAGTCTTCCTTCTCACAGGTATTGGAGGGTCCTGGGTGATGAGATGTCTACTTGCAAGCCTCCGCAGTTCTTGATCAGGCAACTCACCAGGTCCCAGGTGTACTTCTTAAAACCTAATTAACTATAACTCAGGTGCTCAGAGGAGTTAACTTTCCCCTGCTAGCTCTCCCTTGCCTGGGAGTATTGAATTATAAATAAGAGGAAAAACAGATGCTTGCCCCCTTGTTTATTACTTTCTCGGGAAAGAAAACCTCAGAACCCAGGTTCGGAGGTCTAGCTCAGCTCCCTGTAGCTGGTTCAAACCCGGTGACCATTTATTCAGTTTCTCCAGGCAAATCTGTCCTCAGCTATTGTGCTACCTATTGTCCCACATGGCTAACACCACCTCCAGCATTCATTCATGTCCTGCCTTGAGAAAGGGGCTGGAGGAGATGTCCTCTTGAGGTTTCTTCCAGCCTTACTTTCCTATGATCCCATGATTAAGCAATAGCTAGATCTTCATAGTTTCCTAGTAGCTAGGGTCAGGAGAGACCTGAACAGATCATCTAGCCTGACCCCCTGCCACAGGCAGGCATGAATGCTGGGTTAACAAGACCCCAGATAGGTGATCGTCCAACCTCCTCTTGACTTTGCCCAAGGTAGGGGTGAGGACCACTTGCTTGGGAAGTTGGTTCCAGATCTCTCTTCCTTCTAAGAGAACAACTGCTGAGATGGGATATCAGTCACTCAAAGACCTTTTAAAAACCTTTCCCGAGTTAAACTTTAAAAATAAAAAGAGAAGAGGAATAAAAAGATTACCTCCTCCACCATCTCCATTCCCACCTCATGCTGCTAATGAGCATAACTAAGGCAAGCGGACAAACTAACACCAGGAGGCTGAGAACATCCATCAAAATGAACAGAGTTGTGACATTTCCCAAAGCTCTGGTGGGGCACAGTTAAAAGTTCCTACATCCACATGGTAGAGAAATAAGCATTAGCCATTCCTTCCTTGGATAGTCTATAGACTTGGGACTGTTCAGCCTGGAGAAGAGGAGACTCAGAGGGGACTTGGTGGCAGCCTATATCAGGGGTGTACATCAGGGCCTGGGGGAGCATCTATTCACCAAGGCCTCCCAGGGGAGGACAAGAAACAACGGGGACAAACTGATTGAAGATCGCTTCAGGCTAGACATAAAGAAAAACTTCTTTACTGTCCGAGCCTCCATGGCCTGGAATAGACTCCCTTCAGACGTGGTCCAAGCACCTACCTCTCTTAAGAAACTTTTGGATGCTTATCTTGCTGGGATCCTTTGACCCCAGCTGACTTCCTGCCCCTGGGGCAGGGGGCTGGACTCAATGATCTTCCAAAGTTGCTTCCAGCCTGAACGTCTATGAAATCTATGAGTGGGTAGGTGGCTTGGCAGTGGCATAATGACCCAGATGTGAGCTTTGAGTGTTTGCATTTAAAGTAGTTGCTTGCATTTTTGTTTTAGTTTTATATTAGAGGAGTGCTTGTGTCTAGTAGGGATGGAGGGAAGGCCACAGGGGTGCCCGAGAGGCATACTAGGTTCTGAGCCCCGCCAGAGACAGCAGCAGGTTGAGTCTGAGAGGGCCAGAGCCTGACCCTGAGAGACGGGCAACAAAGGCAGTCTGAGAAGGCCAGAGTCTGAGTCCAGAGTGGACAACAGGCAGGCAGGGGCCAAGAAGGCTGGAGCCTGAGACCAGAGGGGCAACATAGGTGACTGGAGAATGACAAAAAGCTGATACTGAAAGGCCAGTCTGGAGCTGGTGGACCTAGTCTACAACCAGAGTAACTTGCAGACAAGGTCCAGGAAGGCTGAAGCCTATACTTGATGGTAAACAGCAACAGAGCAACACCCATGAAGCATGGGCATGGTTGTGGGGAGGCTGGAGGCCGTGATTAAGAGCCCTAAGGGTTAATTAGAGCTAATAGAGACCTGAGTGGTGACCACTG